TATAGTACTTGGCTTTACGAATGCTTCTCAGTAAACTCTGGCAAACAGTGGATGCCATCATGTGGATGAATTCGTTCTGGACACCCGGTGAGAGATAGGATGTAGATCCAGGATGACTTTCCACATGAGTGAAGTGTTCTTTCATGACAGGGTCAAAGATGGCCAGTAATTTCAGTAAGCCAAGGAAATTTCCTACATTAGATTCATCGTCTAGCTGAAGTGACTCCCTTTGTCCTCGCAAAGCCAGGTTCTTAGTTGCAAGGAAGTTTATGCAGTGACGGATTCTCATCAGGATATCATTCCACTTCTGCTTTTCTTTCTCAATCTGTGACTGAAGTTCTGTGTCAATAACTCCTTTGTTTTCTGCTAAATTTCTTTCCACTGTGTTAAGCACTCTCGGTGATTCTTAGCATTTTTAAAAACACTAATCCTTTCATGTGCTTTCCACTGGTTGAATCCACTTTCCTGCTCCAATGAGGATTGATGGTTTGCCTGGGAATAGAGAAGGCAACAGATACAAGATGCAGATTTTTTAGAAGGGTAACAGACCAGCCATGAGCAAGTCATTTCCTCACCATGACCATTTCCTAATTTCCTCTTGAACAAAGTTATGTTCATTGAGTGGTTATTTGTTGGTAGGAAAGGCCCTCACTGTTCTGGACATACTTCGAACCCTGCTTTATTATTTCTGTTCTCAACGTGTCAGGCAGAATTGCTTTTCCAGTATCCTTGTTGAACTTCAGAAGTCCGATGTCATGCTGTTCAATCACTTCTGGTATGACAGTTCAAGGCTCTTCGACACCATCCAGTTCACTAGGTTTAGTGTCGTCAGGTTTAATCTCATCAGATAAAATCTCGTCAATAAACTCAACATCACCACCATCGTCTTCCCCTCCTGTCATGTCCATGTTTTCTCTGGCAGTCTCACTCTTAATCTCGTTATAATCAGATTTATCTGACTTGACTTTCTCCTCTGCTTGTGAAGCATTTGTACTTGATCCACCTTCGGATTCTAACAGACTTGTAGCTGGTGCAGGCGACTCCATGGAACGTGTCGAACTACTTGCTCCAGGCTTTTCAAAGAAGTGCATGAACAACTTGTTCTACTTCTTGGCTTCCTCTGCCTCCAAATTTTGTCTCTTCCGTCCTTCAGCTCCACTTTCCTTCTTCTTCTTCGTGAAGAAATGTTTCATGGTATTCTTACACAATACTCTGAAATAAGAACATTAAATTTCATAAATTTTGCATAAAATTCTGGACTATCTCCCTAATTTGTGTAAGAGAACAGGAGAATGGTCTTACTGCCAGTTGGCACTGAGCAGTGGTACTATGAGGTATGTGGTCATGTTGCTCCCAGCACTGTATTTTTACCTAATAATTTATATAAGTAGTTTAACAATCCGGCCATCCTAGTGCTTCTCACCCATGATAATCAAAGACAGATCATACATCTGAAGAAAATTCTTTTTTCACTATCTGAGGATGGCTTGTCTGACTTTAATAGAAACTGTTCAGTGGCACCCCCATTTCAAGTGGTGCCCAGGGTACGTGCCATACCTTTGGTATGCCACTGCTAACAGGGTTTCTGGTGTTGGTTCAAGATTGTATTCTTCGCCAAGGAACCAGCTAAGGTGGATTCAATGCTGGAATTGTTGTGAAGCTCTAATGAGAATATAGTTACTGATGTTGAAGATGGGGAGTGTTTGGTTGAGTAACAACAGTTTTATTACATTTATGTTTTGGCACATATAAACTTGAAGGATAATACAATATTAGTTCCAAGTTTTCAGAGAGCCAACTTTGAGGCTGTGAAGAAAATTAGCTTTAGTTGATTGGCCAGCTGAGTTAAAAGGGAGGGTTTTGAAGATATATGTTGCTTCTAAATCGTGATAATTGTGATTTTTTATGAGATACAATCTTAATTGACCTAATATAAATATAAGGTTTAAAATTTGAGATAAACCTTATAGATTTATGAAACTTTAGATCAATGTGCCAGGAAAAAAAGATTTAAAGCATTATGGAAGAGTTAGGTATATATTTAAAGAGAAAATTAGATAGCAAAAAATACTTGTAAAGAATAGTTGGTATATAATGTTAGGATTAACAGTAAGAAGTTATTTAGATATGTTAAAGATAAGATGTACAACAATGGAACATGGATCATTAAAAGATGGGGTTATAATTTTTGTTGGTGGAAATGAGACTCTACAATATAATAGTGTCCTTAGCCTGAAAATATTTATCCTAGAGATATAAGAGGTTAAGGACCAGATTACAGAATCATTTTCTTTCATTTTTGGTAGGTCATTGGACAGGGAGTATGGCTAACATTACTCCAAGTTTGAAACACTTACCTACATGTAAGATGGGAAATAGGTTATTTACCTGGACTTAAGGTTGGCTGGGTGGGATGAAACAAAGGTGATGTTAATGAAGATTAAGTGGATTGGTGTTAAAAATGGTATTTTTTGGGGGTTGTATGCCGAGACTATTTTTATTCTGCATTTGCATTAATGATTTTGATGAGGGTATAGTCAGGAAATTGGTTAGATTTTCTGATGATATAATAATCTAAGGTCTGACTGGCTGCTTAAAGATGCTATGAATTTGCAGAGAGACTTGTATTGATTGGTTAGTTGGACAAATATATATTCTGGATATTTGTTTGAAGGATGAACTGTTAATGAACAGAGTGAAGTGTGGAGAATAGCAGAATTTGTTTCTGTGATACCTGTTAGAATTAGCAGTTAGGAATAAATTATTGTTAATATATGTTAATTTCATGAGGAAAACAATGAATACTGAGAGAAACCAGAACAATACATTGATTTTAAATATATATGTGTATAACTCATAAAATATTTTGGGGTATTGTACCATCCCATAATTTATATAAAGCAAAGATACTTTGAACTCTCTTGTATCTTCCTTGACTTCTTCAATACTTAGAGGTATTATTTCCACACACAACTTGCTTCTTTTTGTTGTTTCAATAATTATACGTTCCTTTGTTTGGAAAGAGCTTACTGTTCATTTTTAGTGAGTTTGTATAACCTTTTTATATGCCATTAAATGACAGATCAGATAAAAGCATCAAATGCTGGAAGGTCTTACTGTGCTCTTATGTATGCAGTTATGTTAATCTTAAAAAAAAAAAGACAATGTGACAAACTATAGCATTTCATTATTATCTTCAGAAAATTACAGATATCTTGTGATAATTTTGTATTTGAATGCACCAATTACGAAACTTTTTCCTTTAGAAACTTGATGAAGAGTAGACATATCTGAAGTTTAGCAAATGATGAATTAAGTAAAATTATCAAGATTGATTGATATTTCAAAAATGACACTGTTTGGCTTATTTACAGTGGTGAAAAAAGTTATTGAATCACCCAACGTTTTTCATAGTTTTCTTGGTTTCTGTAATTTTTATAACATTTTGCATCGTGGAAGTATCGGAACTAGTATTACACTCGCTCACACACTCACACATTTATTAACACCAAACATGACAAAGTATTGCAGCAGTTGGTCAACAAATACATGGCAAATACGAAAAAAAATTTTTTTGAATAAGAAAACTTAGATTTCAAGATAATACTCCTATCCTAATGTGATTGACAAAAAAGTGGTCACAGAGTATGTTTCTTGTTTGATATTTTGTTTTGCCACTTCTGGCCTTCATACCTGCTTGAAATCACTGTGGTATAGAGTGCAAGAGGGAACAAATGGTGGCAGGGGTGAGGTCGCAAGGTCACATGTCGATTAGGTCTTCCTGTAGTCCCAAGGTGCTTCTCAGTCTCTTTTTTTGCACTTTGTTAGTCATTTTTTTCCAGCAGTTTTTCAATAGGGTTGAGATCTGGGCTTGTTACAGTAATGTTTTGATCCTCTTCCTTCAAAGATAGTCCTTCACATGAAGCAATAAAGTAAAACTTAATGTCTTTTCAATACACATAGAGTAAACTTTTATTTTTATTTATTACCTACAGCATAGTGTATGAATATTACCAACCTTTTATACCCTGTGGCATGGAGTTGAGTCATATTGGAATGTGCACTGGTCAACTCCACCGAAGTAATCCCCAAATTGTTGGCTTTGACCAGGACTTGAAGATCTCAATGTATTTGTCAGCATTAAGGGTGCCTTTCTCAAAATGTAGGCAACCCACACTCTGGTTAGATATGCATCCCCATATCACCTGATGATTCACAGTTGCATTCAGACATGCTAGATGAAACTTTTCTTCACATCGACTTTGTATAAAGTGTTTCTCTATCTCTGCACTTAACAGCTCACAATAAACTTGTTAAATTCAATTCTTCTACCTTCCTAACTTGTTAACATAAATTTTTCCACCATAAAAGTCCCCTACAGACTTTTTTAAGCAAATAGCTACTAAGGTCCATATTACCATTTACTAAAAAAGTATATATATTTTTTTCAAAATATTCAGTTTAAGTAAGTTAAAGAATCTTGTATATCTTTGTGTAAGAAACCCAGAAAACTTGCAATATAAAATCTGTAAAAATTCTGGTCAAAACCTCTTGGCAACAAACTGTGTGAACAGATACATTTATCTGCTACAAAATCTTAGTTGGTAAATATAGATGCAGTTTATGAAAAACCATTCATTTATATTGTTGCTACAGATTATCCAGAAAGCTGTGCTAATCCAATGATAAAATTATGATGTGTAAAATATTAACGATTAAAAATCCAGCTATCAACTGTGAATTCTAAACACCAGAAATAGTTATAAAAAAACTTGATAGAAATATGTCACTTAATCGGGTATCAGCAGTCTCTTTGTCAGATTTCTTCACGTGAAGAAGGGAGTAAAAAAAGATTGGTCAATAACTATCCACCAAACTTTTTAAATAGCATAAATAGTGAATTTTTTTAAAAACTTTTTATAATTTATTCTAGTATTGTATAGGAATGTATGAGCTTCAAAAGAATTGAGTTATTTCCATATGTGTTTTGCACTTCTTAGTTATATCTGCTTGTAAGCCTGGAGATGTCATCTGTCGAGATGGTAGCTGTATAAGTCAAAGCAAACGTTGTAATGGCATTCCTGATTGCTCTGATGGCATAGATGAAGAGAAATGTGGTATGTTTTTATAGGATTTTTGGGGTCTTGCACCTTATTCTTATGGTGTAAATTTATTTAAAGTACTCAGTCTAAAATAAGGATTAGCTTAGAGGGAATTATGTTCCACAGGGTACATAATAAATCTTTTTGGGAAAGTGATTACTTTATAACATTAATAGTCCAACTACATATAACCAATTGAAGAATAAATAACACAATCCTTTATTTAATCTAAGTTTTAATGTAGCAAGATGGAAGAGATGCCTCTTGTGTGGAAAGATTGGATTGAATTTGTTTTTTATTTTTCAATCCATACTTTTTCCAAAAAGCACAAGTTCAGGTTTCCATTTCTTGCTTGTTTGTTAGATCATATTGTGTAGCATGTACAGCAGCCATTGTTAACACAGCTAACCCTTTATTTAATCTAAGTTTTAATGTAGCAAGATGGAAGAGATGCCTCTTGTGTGGAAAGATTGGATTGAATTTGTTTTTTATTTTTCAATCCATACTTTTTCCAAAAAGCACAAGTTCAGGTTTCCATTTCTTGCTTATTTATTAGATCATATTGTGTACCATGTACAGCAGCCGTTGTTATAAATTACTCTCTTTCATTATCTTGAAATGTGTATTCTTATAGGTCTCTAAAAATACAATGTCTTTCATCATAGTTAAAAAGACTGCATCATCATAAATAAAAAAAGCTTTTAATATTTTCTAAGTAAATATCTTCAACGTTTTTTGCATCATTGTAATTTTTCATTTGAAAGATAAGTTATACAAATCTAAATAATAAACACAACTTGCAGGTTAAGAATTTTGTTAACTAAGTGGGATTACTAACTGTACTTATATTGCTTCCTTATATTGCAAATGATAAAATGTAGAAGGTTTTTCATATGAATATGTACATTGATGGAAGGAGTTTTTTTCTTATTATTTGAGTTCATTCTGATAAAAGGTTTTTTAATGGGTTGATGAGCATATATATAGATGTTCAGAAATATGCTAAGGAAAATGTATATGTAATTTACTTAAAAGATAGTTGTAAAACTTGATTAGATTATGTTATTACAGTATGTAACAACATTGTCTCTGGTTTTAGCAGACAATCTCTGCTTCAAATACAGATAGGGGTTTCTTTTTTTTCTTCCACTTGCTGCTTAAGATCCCTATACTTCTATATTATTGGCATCAACAATGGTTGTGAGGCCTGGGTTATTATTAAGCCCAGCAAGGATTGGAAAGTTTCTTCTAATTGTAGGCCTGTTGCTTGGACTAGTTATATGTAAAATCTGGAGAGAATGGTTAATACTCCTCTCCTCTGTAGTTTCCACAGATGACAATCCACCACCATGTTTTGACAAGGAAGTCTTTCTTATTAGAGAGTATCTTGTTTCTATCTTCTTCTTTTTCTTTTGTCTTGAAAAGGCTTATAATGCCACTTGGAGGATCAGTGTATTACAGAAGGTTGTCTTAATTTTTAACAGAAATCATTCCAGGTCCATTTAGAATAAAAACAATCCCGATCTTTCACACAGGAGCTCAGAGTACCCAAGGGCTGTGTTGTAAGTGTCAGAGGTTATAATAACAAGATCAATGTCATCACTGAACAGTTCTCTTAATGGTTGCAAACAGCCTGTATGTCCAAGACTTTCAGGTTTCCTGTTGTTTATCGAACTGCCCTCAGTAAGTTGTGTGAGTGGACTACAGCAAATGGCTTAACATTTTCATCATCTTAGACTTTTTGCATGCATTTCTGCTGCAATCAGAGATTGTACCCCAATTCTGAGCTTTATCTATTTCTGTGGTAGCTGAAAAAAGGCTCTTAGGACTTTTTGCAATGAACTTGACTTTCATTCTTCACAGTAAAGACACTGACTTTGTACAAAGTCTTTTCTCACCTCTAGTCTAGAATTTGTTCATAAAGACTTGTGAACTCCACTTCAACTCAGATATTTGCAACTTTCTTTGTAGTATGCTAAAAAAGCTCTGATCACTGCCATGGCATCTTATGTGGCAGTGTATCTCCATGCCTTGTTGGGGTCTTCATTTTGCAAATAGATGGTCTGGCATTCACATCCAGGCAAAGTTGACTGAGGTGGGTCTGACTTTAGATGATATTGCTGAATCTGATTAATTCATGCTTCCATACAGTTGTTTTTTTATTGAGTCATCTGAATAAGTCTTATATCCTTGATGGGAAGTATAGACTTATCTTTAGAACATGTTTTGAGCCATTCATCCATTCTCATTTTTACAGTGGCTGAACATTAAGTGACACTGTGGCTTTTGCCATGTTTTTTTGTAGTTCTGTAGTTGCTCACAGGATCTTTTCTACAGATTGCTGAATTGTATGCAATCTCATTTGCTCTATATTACATTGAAGCTAAGCAGTACATTAATTTACAAAGTCATTTAGCTTTTTGAAGAGTTTGGAGTATCTAAATATCAGGTCCAACCTGTCCAACCCAACTTATTTGGTCCATTTTCTACTCTTACCTGCCTATCCAGTTTTTCTAAATTCCTGGCCTTGTTGTAAACCAAAAGAACAAGTTTTTGAAATCATAGGCAAATCAGCCTCTATTGGCAGCATCACTGCCTTGCCTATTCCACATTTGGAGTTCAATCCAATTATCAGTAGACAGTTGATTTGCAATTAACAACATTTGTTAAGTTATTCCTCATAAATTCTACTCTTAACTATTGGCCATGTAGTTTGCACAGAAATTGGAGGAAGTTGTTCTCTAAAGGTTCTGCGTTGGTCACAGTCTAATTACTCTATTGTTTTTCATATAAGAGAGTGATCTGCCAATGTGTGAGCAGTGTGACATTCAAGTCACAATTTCCCACATATTCCTCATAAATTCTACTCTTAACTATTGGCCATGTAGTTTGCACAGAAATTGGACGAAGTTGTTCTCTAAAGGTTCTGCGTTGGTCACAGTCTAATTACTCATTGTTTTTACATTTTAGAGAGTGGTCTGCCAATGTGTGAGCAGTGTGACATTCAAGTCACAATTTCCCATATATTCGTTTCCTATGATTATAGACATTTTTGCTATATTGTTTTATGAAAGATAACCAACTGTTTGGTACAGATAGATTGTATGGCCTCACATAAAAAAAACTCCAAACCATTTCCTTTGTCATTTAGAGAATTAATTGATAAAACAAAATGGTGTTAGCAATGTAATTAGTATTTAATTTATGTACATTATAGTATTTCTTTACCTACTAACAAATTTTAATTTTCTATGCTTCTACGTTTTTGGATCAATTCTGTCAAAACAGTCAGTATACCATACTTTTGTTGTATTTAATAACTTAGCATGGTCAAGATGTTTCAAGTTTTTTCCTCTATAAAGTACATATATTGGTAAATCAGTTTGATAGAAGAAAAATATTGTGATGGCAGGAATGGTTTTATAAGTTAAAGGTTTTATTATAGGCTACTCATTTTACATTTTTAAAATTGAATGAAAAATATCAGCATTAGTATATGTGAACATGAAAATGTCACAGTAAATTCATATACTTTGTTGTTGTTAGAAATATTTTCGTCATGCCTTCAATATGTAGTATTTTGATAACATGCAACTTGTTTGTCATTGAGTAGGGCAAAATGAATGATTTAGTTTCAAGATTACATACGTTTGTTTCTCTCGTTGCTCAACCCCTTGGTGATTTGTGGTGGACATTAATTAACTTAATCATTTTTCTTTGCCTCCATATAATCTCGCACTGTTTTTACTTACTGAACAATCTTGTTAGTAACACAGCATATGACTATAGTACCACATCAAATGTATATTTGTGAGTAGTTTAGCTATTTCATAATGTTTGGTATTTCTTAAATGAGAGTTTGTTAATAATGTTAGCCACAATTAATCATCTCTAACTCAGTTGTTTACGTTTGGATAACAGTTTCAAAAAAGGATATAAATATGATACCTTAGCTTAAATATGGGAATTCTTGTAGGTCAGTCTCAGAAGCTTGAAACTAGTGCTGGTAGTTACATTTTGTTATTTGTATTAAGTCTCAGAAGCTTGTAACTAGTGCTTGTAGATACATTTTGTTATTTGTATTATAATTCTCTTTACGATAAATCAAAAAAAACTTCTGATGCAATTGTTATTATTCCTTTTGTCATAAATGATGCAAAAGGGTATCAAAATGATGATTTGCAGTATTTGTAACAACCAGTGTTAATGTGTTTTAAGATACATACATATACACGTGTGTGTGTGTGTGTGTGTGTGTGTGTGTGTGTAGTCAGACAAACACATAGGTTCAAGAAGTCTTGATACAAAATGATAAATGGAAAATAACCTATAACCTGAGTGTTTTTGAAAGTAAAGATGGACCTTTCTTCTTCAGGGGCAAACTGAGCAGTTCACTTTATTGAGAGTTCTTTTGCCAAAAAAAGCAAATTCAGAGCGAAATAAAAGAAAAAAATAAGATTCTAGCTATGAAAATAACAAACTGTTCTGATCTTACTGTTACTTATTAACATTATATT